TTAAAATCAGTCAGTTAACTGAGTTGAGGATACTTCAACCTTTAGAATGTTTTTATTGCTGTTTTTAATGTTAACTACATGTGAAGAATGAAAGGTTGGACGGAATGTATTTATTTATTTATTTTTGTGTGTAGGTGGAATTGTCACATTAATTAACTTTATTCATGCAATATAACAACTTTATTCTCGTAATTTTGATTATATTTGACTTTAATCTTGTAATCTTAGATTTATTATTGTTATTGTTATTATTATTATTATTATCTTTATTATAATTATTTACTCTTACAGTTAAGTGATGCGTTTCTGGTCTCAAATTGTAGCTTTTTACTTAGAGTTCATAAATGTGTGAATTTCTGTCATTATGGTTATTTTCCATAACACTGAATGTTGTAACAAAGGTAATAAAGAGTTGGTTATTATTATTAAGTCTCTTTCCGGCTCAGACAGCATAGGTTAAGCATATGGGTCTGTCACGTGATGAACGAACGACTCAAACCCCAAGACTCGAGAGATGAACTAACCCAGCCGGCACATGACCGACCTTCAACGTTGAAATATGGTTGAACTAATGACAGTTGTTGTTTCAACGTTGAAAAATGTTTAACGCTAAATGGTTGAAAAAGGTTAACAAAAACAGTTGTAAATCAACCTTAATTTTTTTGACATGATCTGTATCTTGAATCAACTTAATGTCTTCAACAGCATACAAAATAAATTTCTGCCTTTTAAATGATTAATATTAAATTATTTAAGATCCTTATTTTAATAGCATTTTACAATATTTTGATCATGAAACCTATTCTAAAATCTAAAGGTATATGTTAAATATTATCATCATTAACAACAATAAAACTAAATCAATTTTGCTGCGTTACCACGCTGAAACAATTCCTATTGGTTGTTTTACTTTATTGCTTTGATCATGATTGGTTAATCTGCGTGTCATCCAGAAAACTGGACAATGAAGCTGTTCGCGCCTTTCTAAATTTTAAAATATGACCGTTATTTTCGTCTTTCTGAGTGAGGCGGCTGACTGTGAGCTGCTGCTCGTTGAAACTGCTCGGTCGGTCCTGAATTATTTTATATTTGCCTGTTAAATTTTTATTTTGAGCGAATTTGAGTCGTGACATGTCTATGGAGAACAAAAACTGGAATGTGAACACAAGAAGGGTCAGATGTGATCTGCGAGGTCCTGCAAACATACGGGCAAAATGAGGTAAGAAAATCGCTATATTTATTACCTTTCAAAAATAGTAAAGTATAACGTTAACAGAGTTTACAAATGGGCAAAGGACATGTAAACTACAGATGATAAATACCTGTGTGTGTATTTTTGTATTGCTTTATTACAGATGCTAAAGTTAGATGCTCATCTGATGTTGTGTTGCTGGTAAGTTATGTGTAAATGTCTGTCTTTTAGAGATTTTTCTACATTTTCCTGATGTGAATGCCATGAATTAGGTGTGTTATATATCTTATAATAGTCTCAAAGATAACATACTCTGTTCGTGTTTTCTGAATATCATATAATCGCAAATGTACGTACAAGTTAAAGGGTTGCAACTAATGATTATTTTGGTAATCGATTAGTTGGCCAATTATTTTTTCGATTAATCTGATTTTTTACATTTTTTTTATTGACAAACACTATTCCACATTCTGCCCAATGTCCTTCAAACAAACGTGCCAACTGAATGCTATGAAAACATACAGTGCATAACAATTTATTAGACCACCTGCCATAATAAAGAGAAAAGACAAATATTTTAGGAATCTGTCAAAAAACTGTTTAAATCTAAAAATGTTATTGTCATTAATTGGGTAATGACACACTTTGAGAACTACTGACATGTATTCATATTCACCTGACAGGACAAGCCAGTACGCTAATGCATTATAGCTTAAAGCTTAAAATAAAGAATTCTCATGTTTTGGGCAGCTTGGATCACGTTCTTCTCCCGCAGCGTCTCATTCGGTTTCCTTCACTATTTTAGATGCATTTTGTCCATAGAAATGCCTTATTCAGTGCTACACGACCGGACGTGCACTGTGGACAGACCCGACTAATCGATAATGAGAATCGTTGTCGATTATTTTCGTTATCGATTAGTTGTTGCAGGCCTAGAATTAAGATTGTTTAAAGCAGTGGTTCTCAAAGTGTGGTACGAGTAGCACTAGCACAGAGGAATCACTCAATTAAATATAAATTAATGTTGATACATTTTAATTTAATCTTTATTTGAGTAAAGTTTTTTACATTTAAGTACAGTACAGTTATGTAACTTTTCTTATAACACATTTTAATTTAATCATTATTTAAGTTTTTTATTTACCTGTTTGTAAGCACAGTGCAGTGTTAATGTTCAAACAATGTTAAAGTGGTTGACAACAATAAATATTCTTATTAGGAATAAAACTGCCTCATTGCTGAGCTGTGCAGAGCTGTAGCTGAATAGTTAGGACTACTGCGCTGCTGTAATTTAATGTTGGTCATTATGGTGGTACTTAGAGAGCCAAATATTTTCCGAAGTGGTACCTGGTATAAAAAAGTTTGAGAACCACTGGTTTAAAGAAATGGTATAAAATGAAATCCTGCTTTAAGAACTTTTCAGTAAACCGTTTCTTCTTCCCCTTGTAGAGTCATCAAGGATCCAGCTTATTATTGGCAAACTGGTAAGGAATTCAGTCTGGAGGTTAAAGAGCTGGCTGTCTGGTGCAGTCTCAACAACCTGGAGCTCAACACGCTCAAAACTGTGGAGATGACCGTGGACTCTGTGATGGGTTTTGGTTTTACTTACTTTAATAAACATGTACTTAATTTGATTTGACTTGTTTTACTAAATACACCGTATAGTTAGGATTCTGATTAAAACAGTGTAACTGGGGGCTCTGAAAAAACTGCTTGTGAATAATTCCCCACACTATCTCCAGTACCGCTCCGGAGCAGTATTCCAGGCAAAAATCCTTTTATAAATCACAGTCAGAGAAAGATTGTGCGCCCCGACTCCTCCCCGAAATCACCATATGTGGAGCTTACAACGCCTAGTTTTACTATGCTTAAAACAGTGTAACTGGGGGCTCTGAAAAAACTGCTTGTGAATAATTTAATATTGTAAACTTTCATCTGAATACATTAAATAAGTGTTTAATTAATTTGTTTCCAACCCCACTGTTATTGAACTGTAAAGTGAAAATATTGTATGTGATTTGTTTTGCATTCAGTTAAAGATATTTCACAGTATCAAAGTTGATATTTTATGAGGATTTATTTTTGGTGTTTTTGTTTGTATTTATACAGGACCATACAGAAAGTGCACACGTGTGAGAGAGTGGAGGGGACGGCGTCAGAAAGGACTGGGACTCTTTCAAGGATCACCCGAAGCACAACCACGCTACATGCACAAGGCTGTTGGTTCTAACATTTTAGGGCCCCCTCGGTAGAAATCACACTCCTTGTTCCCTGCGGTAAAAAAAGACCCGGTCTGGGGGTTCCCCTCATTAGAGATTGCTCCCCTAAAAAAAACTATTTTCCACATACTGTACATTATTGTTTCTCCTCTATGCCCCGCCTTTCTGAAGCGCGTCGATTTTTACAAAGCTCATCGTTCTGAAAAGCAAGGTGTGCTGTGATTGGCCAGCTATCCAGTGCGTTGTGATTGGCCGAATACCTCAAGCGTGAGACGGAAATGTTACGCCCCTCACCATACTGTGATGCTGCCCTGTCCGGCCGGAGCGACGAGACAAAAACATTAAAACCCATTATAAACGAGGCATTCGTTGCATACAGTGGAGACATAATTACTGATTATAATGACTTATACTGTCTTTTTATGCGTTGCGTTGCATTGCATCACGTAAACATAACACCCTGTCTGCATTTGTGATCGGAGAAATGACAAGCGCTACTCTACACTGCTCAAAGCTCGCATTTGAATCATCAGTGGCAAATCCTTTAAATGTTAAAGTACTTACGTGAGTCAGAACTGCCGGCATTGTAGTCTAACGTTACTCTCCCAGGATCAGTAAACAGTCCTCCATAAAATGTGCCTTAAAATAGTTATCAGATAGGCTAAATATTTTAGAATAGAGTTGAGCTCATTCTTTTCCACTGGCCAAATAGGTAGTATTTAAATAGTTTTAAACAATCTAAATCAAATTAAATGTATGCAGTTTTGCTGATAAGGTGAACATCTTTTAGCTATTTTAGTGGAAACAGATTGAGTTTTGAGGCATATTTTGACTGAGTTTGAAATCATTGTTTACTTCATTACTTTTCTCTCTCCAGGAAAAAAAAAAGTCCATATGCATGGGTCAGAGTTTGCGTGCAGGTGCGCAAATTTTCCCGTCAAGTTTGTTTTTTATAAATCCCACCTGTTGCGCAGGAAGTGGCGTACGCACGCAACGGTTATAAATGAGGCCCCTGGACTTACTTCCTGTCACACGCTCTCAAGCGGCACGTGTGGGACCAGGCGAATAACTTTATTTATCGTGCACTTCAGGCTTGACCACTTTGCTGATCGTTTACATTCACATACAGCTAAAAAAAATAAGGAATAATAGTATGAAGACCTGGCAGAAACAATGGGATGAAGGGAAGAAAGGACGTCATTTATACGATTTTAAACAAGAAGTAGGGAGAATGAAATCAACAGGAAGATATACAAGAGAACATACCATTATTTCGAGGTTGAGAATCAGCGGAACATGCGATTAGTCAGTGTGTCAAACATGAAAATCAAAGGATAACATTAAAAGATGAATTAAAGAAATATGGAGTGAACATATGAAATCTATTTAAAGTTATCCGATAAATAAAGCTTTGTTTAATTTTTTGAAAGAAACTGGTTTAATGAAAAGAATTTAACTGCTTGGGTTTATTTCATTTATTTCTTTTATTTTTTTGTTCTCTCTGATAAGTATACAGTTCTGGTCCACACTCCAGCACAGTAGGTGGCGGAGATGCACCTTAAGTGTTAGTTGCCACCCGCCATTATAAAAACACGAAGAAGAAGAAGAAGAAGAAGAAGAGCAGCCGGAACTATCGGCGGCTACTGTTCGCTCTGCATCGGGAGGAGTTCGAGGTTGCGCTCTGTACATACATGGAAACGGATACGAGGTTGGACTCGTCTCTTCATTTTTACTCCTGTGTTTTCAACAGTTTCGAAGTCTTTGATGTATGTGTGTAAGTTTTGGACGCTTGTGACCGAGTAAACGCTGTTGATCCCTCAGTGTAAGCACGTGAGTGTAGTGTATGAGAGAGTTAGCCGCGGTGTTGTTCCTCCGCTCGTCTGCAGAATGTCTTCAGTCATCTCTCCGGGGTTTCAGAGCAGCACGCGGGACTTCCGCTTCGGGCCCTGGACTCTCACCGCCGCCAAGACGCACATCATGAAGTCCAAAGACATCGAGAGGTACGCCTTCTGTTTCAAAGAGATCAATGTGCTGCAGTTTAGGTGGATCGTGTTCTTATTTAACAGTTTTGTATGTTAGCGGATTTCATGGTACGGAGTTATATTTCTGAAATATGTATAATTCATTCCTCACCTGTTTGCCTCTTTTTGAGAATAGACCTGAAAATGAAAACTGTGGTAAATGTTGAACGCTTTTCAGAGCGCAGACTGAAGTTAGGTAGCTTTTTAAAGAAGACACGTGATTGAAACTAAAAATAAAGACCCATGTAAAGTGTACAAGTGTGACTGTTTTTATCAGAACCTTTTCATGTCCGAGTCATGTCAGTGATCTTGTGTGTTTACAGAGCTTTACGAGTTTTGGGCTCATAAAACACAATCATTTATTTAAATGACGCTTAATAAGAAAGACCTTTGTCACCATTTCTGAACAGGCTTATGATTAGGCATCATACGTTACGCTATATCGCAAGGATTTCTTTTAGTTGAAAACGTGTGTAAACAAAAATATATAAAAAGAACAAAAGCATTAAAGCTCAAGTAGAGCAAACGGAAAAAATAAAGCAGGCCGTGCCAAATACAGCACAGACCGCACACACTGTGTTTATACGGTCAATAAAAACCCATAATATCCACATCAAAGATGGCTCCTCAGTCTGATAACAAATGATGTTTTATCAAAGTTCGGGAGGAGCACGCTCAGATAATCAACTTAATTACCAAGAAGAGAGGTGTATATCTTCTTGGTAATTTAATGTATATACAGCAGACTGACCTCTTCCTAGCATCTCCTCACTTCTGACTCCTGTATTTACTTCTAAAGCGCTTCATACAGTACAGATTGTAGTAATACTAACACCAGTGTCTTCTGTGGCAGGTTAGCAGAGACCATGAACATGCCGGCTCTCCCAGAGATGCTGTTCGGAGACAATGTGCTGCGCATTCAGCACGCCGACGGTTTCGGAATCGAGTTCAACGCCATCGACGCTCTCAAGCGTGTCAACAACATGCAGGACTCTGTGAAAGTGGCTTGCGCGCAGGAGTGGCAGGACAGCAGGTAAACGCGCTGAGATGTTGTGTTATTCACGGGAAAGATGCTTTCACTGGTGTCTGTGCAGAGCCGAGTCGGAGGCGTCTAAAGAGGTGGTGAAGCGCTACGACTGGACCTACACCACAGATTACAGGGGCACTTTACTGGGAGAGCAGCTGCAGATCCAGGTACTGTGTGCTTTAAGACTTAAACCGGCTGAGCGCTGACCTCTGACCCAGACCGAGCTTGTGCGCAGGTGAAGCCCACCGCCGAGCGCATCGACATGGAGAAGCTGCGAGCGCGAGAACAGATCAAGTTCTTCGAGGACGTGCTGCTGTTCGAGGACGAGCTGCACGATCACGGCGTGTCCATGATCAGCGTGAAGATCGTGAGTTTCCTCCGATCCGTCTGCTTGTGTTTGGTGCGTCGCCGGTTAGCGTGTGACGGATGATGTCTGCTGTTTCAGAGAGTGATGCCCACCAGCTTCTTCCTCCTGCTGCGGTTCTTCCTGCGAGTGGACGGCGTGCTGATCAGGATAAACGACACGCGTCTTTATCACGAGGCAATTTCACTCACCCTATCAGAAACACCCAATACCATGTGATTTTACCATATCTTAAACCCTGTTGCTCTGCACTGCTTTAAACAGGCTGGAAAAAACCACATGCTTCGAGAATTCAGCACACGTGAAAGTAAAATGTCAGACCTCCAGGTGAGTGCTAGATTAACCCTCTGCTGCTCTTCCGTCATTTCTGACAGAAATCTGTTATTTTTAGAATTTGTTTTGGCACTTGCTGTGTGAACACATAAAAATCATGAAGGACATGATTTGAAAAGGTTAAATGGTCTTGAAAAAAAGTCAAAAATGACCGCTTTGAAATTTCATCCAGTGGAATCGTTTGGTTCTGCGGCTAAACAAAAGCTCATTTTTTTGAGATATCAACCTCAAATTTGGAACAGCCTATTTAGATTCATGGCTTTGATTCTCATCCAGTTTTAGAGTAAAACATGTTTTGAAAAAGCATTAATTAACAAAAAATTTAAAATAGTATTTCTGTGCATCATTCATAACAATAAACTTGTATAACTTTCACTTTCTTTGAAAAGAGACCAAGCTTAAGTCTGCGCTCCAAAATATTCTAGATTTACAGTTTCAGTCAGAAATGTCATTCTCAGGTCTATTCTCAAACAGTGCTTAACAGGTAATAAACTAATTATATTTACTGCATAAATATGAAATAAAAATCATTATCTAACTCAAAGTACATTAATTTCATTGAAATTTAACAAAAAACCATCAGTCTGCGTCTGCGCTTCAGAGTGTCTTTCCTTGACTTCGCAGCACGTTCCTCCAGCGGTTTACACAGACCCCAATGAAATCTCCCCGCAGCTGCCGCTGAAGCTCATCGAGTGCGAGAAACTGGAGTTTCCAGAGAGAACGCCGCAAGCAGAACCATCCGAGTGACGCCGAGCAGAGCGCTCGCTGCAGACTCGAACCCACTAAACCTGAACTCTGTACATGTTTGATGTGGAGGATTTCATTAAAATCCTTTGATTCAGAAGTATGTCTAGATGTGATGAGAATGAACTAATACTGAAACAAAAACTCACTTGTAGCGTATAGTTCAGTTTTTCCGATCGCTAACACACTGTAACTGAATCAGCGGGCACAGTTTCTCAAAACTCTATAAACACGTTCCAGTGTGCTGTCGGTTGTGATGTTTCATGTTCAGTTCTTTGGTGTTGAGCGTTTCTGGTGTATTTCAGATCTCTTTACAGTGGTGTGATGAATGTTTATTTTCCAGTTTCTGCACTCCTTCATTGTTGTTGTGTGCTGTAAAATAACTCCGGACTCCCAATCAGAGGGTTTTATCTCCGTGTTTTGAACTGATCTCACTAGTGTGCTCTAGGCACTGTCCGTTTGTGCACCTGGAGGGCTTTTTGTGTCAGCTGAGGCTAAAGTTGGATTATGACTAAAGAGAATGTTTTTGATGAAAATATTTGATTTTGACATGAGAGTTTGAGGCGTTTTCAAATTGGTGTGTAGTTCTGAGATTGTGTTTATACTTTTGAGAAAATTGTGAATTTTATGAATTTTGTGTTAGCTATTGAGAAAAACTGTAGTAACTCCTGATGCTGGTCTGAAATCTCCTGGAGATGATTGAGGTTTTAGTTAATAATCCCAGAACGCTTTAAATGTGACGCACGTGTGTTAGACGCGCTCGTAGTTCAGTGACTCTTTAGCTGTAATATATGAGCTAACTTATATTTGCTTTTATTTGTTGAGAAATTCTCTCGAGTAGAGTGGGAGTATTAAATGTCTGTTTGGGATAAAAATCAAAAATAAACTAAATTTAACGTTTTGAATCGTTAAGGGAATGCTTTGTAGAAACAATTATTTCCATTTTCCTTTTTTACATTGAGATTGTAGTGATAAAATGTCAAATAATCAACGGCAATTCGAATTTCTACACATAACATCCACTTTTCACCTTCTCTACCACTCGTGCTTTAACCTGTGGGTTTTTTCATCATAATTACATGCTTAGTCAAGCTTCATTTAGTTAATTTATGTCATGTTTCTGTACCTCAAAGTCATGATGTTCGATTATCAGGGAATTCATGAACTCAGACGAGCCCAAAAATAAAACTTAAATTATTGCAATATACACAAAGATATTAAAATTCACTTCTCTAAATTTAAATGTAAAAATAGAAAGAAAAAAAAAGTCTTAAAACACAAAGATAATTTAGAAAAGAAGATATGCTCCAATGGCTTTTTTTCCCCTATTTTTATGGCATGAAATGGCACGATGGGCTAAATCAAAGGTCATTCGTACATTAACATCCAGGCTTTCTGTGGGTCTTAAAAATTATTCTTTCCACAAATTAATTTCCATAAATCAGAGCAGAAAGTCTTAAGTTCATAAAATAATGGCATTAAATGTTGCATTAACTGCTAAATAAATATCTTGTTAGATTCAAGACATAAATACTGGAGGAAGAACAGCACTTTTTTCAGTGTGAGTAGAAGGTGCAGTGAAAGTTATTTTCATACTGTTTGGGATCAAGAATAAATTGGTATGTAGAGCATCTTTATGTCACAGATGCCAAATAAAGGCAGGAGAGTGAAGCAGCATGATGGACAGGAGGATGAGGAGGAGGATGTGCCCGTCAAGCAGATGAAGGTCGTGAACGGCTCCGCTTCGCTGTGATTCGACTCGCCCCGTGATTTCTTCCAGAGTCTGATCGGTCCGGTCGGGCTGGACGAGTTCTTCCAGCAGTACTGGGAGCAGAAGCCGTTAGTCCTGCACCGGTCCGATCCGGATCTGGCCTCTTATTACGGCTCTCTGTTCCAGCTCTGCGCTCACGGCCTGCGATATGCCACGGACCTCAACGTCTGCCGCTGTGTGAACGGCAAGAAGAAAGTGCTGAATAAAGCAGGGAAAGTGAAGTTCAGCCAGCTGAAGAAGGACTTGGAGGAGAGGAGAGCCACTATTCAGCTGCACCAGCCGCAGAGGTTTAAGGTCAGACTGGCGGAGAGGAGACTGGCCCGCGGTGTTTGTCAGGGAGCTGATGTGATCATGTGTTCACAGGATGAGCTGTGGCGCATTCAGGAGCGGCTGGAGAGTTTCTCCGGCTCGCTGCTCTGATCCAACGTCTACACCACTCCTGAGGCCTCGCAGGGCCTCCCGCCGCACTTCAATGATGTGTAGGTCTGTCGCTAACTAACACTAGTTCAGTCAAACACTAGTCCTGTCAGACAAACACTAGTTCAGTCAAACACTAGTCCTGTCAGACAAACAAGTGTACACTCAAACACTAGTCCTGTCAGACAAACACTAGTTCAGTCAAACACTAGTCCTGTCAGACAAACACTAGTTCAGTCAAACACTAGTCCTGTCAGACAAACACTAGTTCACGCAAACCCTAGTCCTGTCAGACAAACACTAGTTCACAAACACTAGTTCTGCCATTCAAACACTAGTTTAGTCAAACACTAGTTCAGTCAGACAAACACTAGTTCAGTCAGACAAACACTAGTTCTGTCAGTCGAACACTAGTCCTGTCAGACAAACACTAGTTTAGTCAAACACTAGTTCTGTCAGTCAAACACTAGTTCAGTTGAACACTAGTCCTGTCAGACAAACACTAGTTGTCATTCAAACACTAGTTTAGTCAAACACTAGTTCTGTCAGACAAACACAAGTTCACAAACACTAGTTCTGAACACAGAACATGAGCAGTTTTTAATCTAAATTAGATTGTATAATTTCGAAATTTGAATCAATTTTCAACCGGCTCGTGGTTAATCGTTACATCCCTACTAGTTCACAAACACTAGTTCTGTCAGACAAACACTAGTTCAGTAAAACACTAGTTATGTCAGTCAAACACTAGTTCACAAACACTAGTTCTGTCATTCAAACACTAGTTTAGTCAAACACTAGTTCTGTCAGACAAACACTAGTTCAGTCAAACTACTTCTGTCATTCAAACACTAGTTTAGTCAAACACTAGTTCTGTCAGACAAACACTAGTTCACAAACACTAGTTCTGTCAAACACTAGTTCAGTCAAACACTAGTTCACAAACACTAGTTCAGTCCGACACACTAGTTCACAGACACTAGTTCTGTCAGACAAACACTAGTTCACAGACACTAGTTCTGTCAGACACACTAGTTCACAAACACTAGTCCTGTCAGTCAAACACTAGTTTAGTCAAAGACTAATTCTGTCAGTCAAACACTAGTTCACAAACACTAGTTCTGTCAGTCAAACACTAGTTCAGTCAAACACTAGTTCTGTCATACAAACACTAGTTCACAAACACTAGTTCTGTCCGACACACTAGTTCACAAACACTAGTTCTGTCAGTCAAACACTAGTTCACAAACACTAGTTCTGTCAGTCAAACACTAGTTCAGTAACACTAGTTCTGTCAGTCAAACACTAGTTCACAAACACTAGTTCTGTCAGTCAAACACTAGTTCACAAACACTAGTTCTGTCAGTCAAACACTAGTTCACAAACACTAGTTCTGTCAGTCAAACACTAGTTCACAAACACTAGTTCTGTCAGTCAAACACTAGTTCACAAACACTAGTTCTGTCAGTCAAACACTAGTTCACAAACACTAGTTCTGTCAGTCAAACACTAGTTCACAAACACTAGTTCTGTCAGTCAAACACTAGTTCACAAACACTAGTTCTGTCAGTCAAACACTAGTTCACAAACACTAGTTCTGTCAGTCAAACACTAGTTCACAAACACTAGTTCTGTCAGTCAAACACTAGTTCAGTCAAACACTAGTTCTGTCAGACAAACACTAGTTCACAGACACTAGTTCTGTCAGACACACTAGTTCACAGACACTAGTTCTGTCAGACACACTAGTTCACAGACACTAGTTCTGTCAGACACACTAGTTCACAGACACTAGTTCTGTCAGACACACTAGTTCACAGACACTAGTTCTGTCAGACACACTAGTTCACAGACACTAGTTCTGTCAGACACACTAGTTCACAGACACTAGTTCTGTCAGACACACTAGTTCACAGACACTAGTTCTGTCAGACACACTAGTTCACAAACACTAGTTCTGTCAGTCAAACACTAGTTCACAAACACTAGTTCTGTCAGTCAAACACTAGTTCACAAACACTAGTTCTGTCAGTCAAACACTAGTTCACAAACACTAGTTCTGTCAGTCAAACACTAGTTCACAAACACTAGTTCTGTCAGTCAAACACTAGTTCACAAACACTAGTTCTGTCAGTCAAACACTAGTTCACAAACACTAGTTCTGTCAGTCAAACACTAGTTCACAAACACTAGTTCTGTCAGTCAAACACTAGTTCACAAACACTAGTTCTGTCAGTCAAACACTAGTTCACAAACACTAGTTCTGTCAGTCAAACACTAGTTCACAAACACTAGTTCTGTCAGTCAAACACTAGTTCACAAACACTAGTTCTGTCAGTCAAACACTAGTTCACAAACACTAGTTCTGTCAGTCAAACACTAGTTCACAAACACTAGTTCTGTCAGTCAAACACTAGTTCACAAACACTAGTTCTGTCAGTCAAACACTAGTTCACAAACACTAGTTCTGTCAGTCAAACACTAGTTCACAAACACTAGTTCTGTCAGTCAAACACTAGTTCACAAACACTAGTTCTGTCAGTTGGAAATATAACATACATGAAATAACCCCCCACAAAGCAGGAGACATAGAACGGACAATACAAGCCAAAACAAGAACAAAACACCCCCCAACAAGCAGATCTATCGCCAAGACATGTACTGCTGCTGCTCCGAAGAGCCATGTGAACCACATGTGTGCCTGGGCTACCACGCCGACCGGCTTAACAATAGTGGGC